AGTCCGACGGATGTTGCCCGAGCAGCAGACCAGTTGAACTGCCTTTCGAAAAATTCTGCCCACCGTCAAAGATGTCGATGGATGTTAGTGATTGGCATCCCATCATCCTCACAGATTGTTTCGCTCACACCAGACTTCTTGCTGCCAGTGACTCAGATGATTTGAAAGAGCTTCCGGTAGTTACCAGATGCAGCTGCTGCTTACAGCTCATTAGCACGCTCCGACCACCAGGCTTCTCGGTCCTTACTCTAGCTTTGCCCAATTTCCTTACGTGACATCCTTCGTTTGTGGTCAATCTCATGGTCACCCGGAGTAGACCGACGAGCTTCGATGAGTTGTAAGGAGCCTGAAGAATCCCAGTGCTTATAAGTGGGACGTTTCGCGAACCCAAAAGTGACTCAACTCGCCATTTTCATGGCGTCATGCAGTTGCAACCAATGCTCATCTATACTTTTCGGTGGAATGGTAGCAAGCCTAGAAACTAGCTCGGTTCGATACATAGTTGCAACCAACTTGCTAACATCAATCCGTTGGTGACGATCACTTCCTTGGCCACTGAAAAGTAAGGTAAAACTGGCGCAGACCAGAGCATGATCAGAGTCCAGATAGGTACTCCAAAAGGAGCGGCAGTCTTGTACACAACCACGCCAGCGGTAGCTGATCGCGATGTGATCAATCTGAGTCCAGACTTGAGATGCAGAGGGAGGACGCCAGGTGGCACATCGGCGATGACTGTGCCGAAAGTTAGTGCTAGCCAGAAACAGGTTGTGGTCTGTGCACAGTTGCAGTAGATGGTCCCCGTTATCTGACCTGCGACCAACGAGTCCCCATCGGCCACCTAAACGACTCTCTTCTGTGCCTAGAAGCCCGACCTGAGCATTCAAGTCTCCGGCTAGTACCACAATATCTGTCGAACGCACTTTCTGGAGAAGAACAGATAACTGGTGGTAAAACTCATCCTTGATTGCATCCGGGCTGCAATCTGTCGGTGCATAGGCGGAGATGACGAAAAGACATCGTTTCTCACGCCGATTTCTCACTTTGATGGAACTTTCTAATCTAACAGCGCATAACCAACTGTTAATGGGGATCCAATCGATTAGTGCTGCCTCAGCTCTAGCACTTAGTGCGACACCAACGCCAGCAAGATCAAACGAAGATGCCACAGGGTCTCCGGATATACGCACGTAAAACAAGCTGACCTCATGCCCAACCCTCCTGCTTTGTCCGGGCTTGGGACCGGCAGTAGCTTCAGAGGGGCTCCAGGCGGAGTTAACATTATCAATAAGAAACGAAAACAATTTTTACCTCATGTGGTAGAGTATAGTGTCATGTGTGAGGTGAATCTTTTATATGGGAGTGTCATAAATTTGATATATCAGTCAGTATTATTATTATTACTAATAATGATAATTGCTTTATTCAATATTATATTTATGATACAATATAGAATTTTCACCACAAAGTATTTCAACAAGTTTCCGTTGCTTACTTACTGATAGATCATGACGAAAAATATTGAGTGATCGCCAATTAGATGTTAGCAGTTTAAGAATCAACATGTGAATAATGTACATTCATTTTGCTGTATATTGCCAGCAACCATCATGTTTCTGACTGTGCGCATTCCTAACTTGTATAGTGAAAGGTCGTGAAATCTTCACAAACGCAATTAAGTCGGTTGTGCAATTAATTTGTATAATGATCGTTTAAAAAACAACAAGGAAACAGATAACGTGTTGAAATATTGAGATGACAGGAAGTGGTAGCCCAGACGTTGAAGTCGACCGCCTCGAAGTTGTAGTGTGGCGTCGAGTCACGTTTGGCTATGATCACCACTACAAGAAGAGTGCGTACCAGAACAGGCTAAACCTCAGAGTAAACCAGAAATCAGAAGGCGATTGAAGGTTGTATCAAGATATATTTGTTGGCGGTCTCGAGGAATGGAAAGAATACCGAGATCGTGCCAAAGGAGTACAAGTGGAACTCAAGTAAAACAAGCTTTTGAAGCGACAGATGAAGAGCGAATTTGTAGTACTTCACCAGAGTCTTGAACACGGGTTTCGGACAGACAACAAACATCGATATTAAGACTTTCTAAAGACATAGCCAGCCCTATCTGTTGTCCGACCTGCATAAGTGTGAGAACATAGAAGGCAGCCAGTTTGAATGGTGCACGTGGTTTCGGAAAAACTGCTTCAGTATTCGCATTTGGTGGTAGCAATCAATTTTCAACCAATCAGTAACTCGAGAACGTTTAGATAGGACCGAATTTCCACCACAGGCGAGCTGCCGGATAAGTCACAAAATAAGGATACACAGAGTGGGAACAAAAGAGAGTGAATACGTGACGAAGTAGATAATAATAATAATAATAATAATAATAATAATAATAATAATAATAATGTGAATCGTTTGACTATTAATCGAAGCAAGAATATTTTCCGTGATACTGCCCGGGCGCCCAAACCGAAGCAGGTAGTTTACTTAAGGGGCCACACCCCGAGCCTTTGACCTAAAGGTATGATCCATAAGACGGTGGAGCATCGAAAGGAGATGCAGTCCCATGGTAGCCGGTGACCGAAAGTTGGTTCATACGCCATTTGTTCCCGCAGGATACTGGAGCCCATGTGCACCATTGATTTGGTTTGGGATCCGGTTAAAGCGCCGAACATTCTCTTTTGGTCCTCTCATTTTCATAAACAACACCCGCGCCACGAGAAAGCAGTGAATAGCACTTCCCTGGCAAAGGCTGTATACGCGTTGCCGTGTGAGATCATTTCGAGAGCAAGGGCGGGCCCACGACATTCTTGGCCATACCAGGGCAATTTAGTAGTATTACTATTTGTATTAGTATTACTATTATTAGCAACGAATGATTTGTGGAGAATATCCAACCTGTAGTTCTCATGACCAACTGATTTTATGGTTAAACAATTGTTAAAAACCAGATGAAGGACGATCTCCAAAAAGCTGTGATAAGAAGTCATATCTGGTGATGCTTAACAGAACCAGATAAAATGTATTTAACTGAGATCATGAACTAGTCAGTGTCAGACTACAACCGAAAACCTGGAAGCATTGGACGGCTGTTTTCTCCTAGAATGGGACTCTTCAGAAAAGAGCATCCACGATCTAGCACGCGGGTCTCGAGCCCAGGACCTTTGGTTTTGTGCGCGAACACCTAACCTCCAAGATTTATCAGCTTATGATCTCAATTAAAAACTCAAAAATCTCCAGAATCCTATACTGACGAAAGATATTTATCATCAATGATAATGTATGATGATTGTACAAGATCATAAATTAGTTGAAATCGGAGAAGCGAACCGATATATATATATATATATATATATATATATTCAAACTGGCACATCAAAATAATCATGGCAAGATGAAAATATGTGATAAACCCATGGTAGTGGACGTAGTAAGCACATCAATGGTAGTAGAAAACATTGGGCATAGAATGTAGTTAAAAAAGAAAGAATGAATTTGTAGGAGTAAAAAATTTAAGATAACTTTAAAGCTTTATAGCTAAGGGAAGACAACGAATTAATATATCTCTACTATTGTGACGGATTCAGAATCATATTATCCAATGTACTTGAACATTGGTTATGATAATCGTGCAAACATCAACCAGACAGTCTACATTCACCATGTAAGATGGTTGGAGGAAGTCAATGAGAAAATTTGTTCAACTTGTTTCATGTCAGTTAGCATTAAATGGCAAGATATGACATATATACTCTTGAGGTAACCCAAGTTTCCCAGACGATTTTAATCCACATCACTCAATATCACAGTCAGAAATATTACAATTGAGTTATCCAACATGTAACTGACCTCCACATTTATGTTAAGAACAAACTTTAAAATGTTCTAACCACAAATTTACGCTAAACAACAAATAATTAAGCAGAACAAAAAGGTTATGTCGATACGTTAAGCATGATCAAAATAATATCCTGATTATGAAACTAATTGAAAATGTAGTGAAATCCATTCAATAAACAACACAGATCGCTCTTTGTCCTCTTTCTTAGCTTTCGTCGATAAAAAATATTGGTATAATGGATGAAGTTATAACAACTGTGACGAAATTTCAGCTAGTTACTAGTTAATCAGAAAGCAGCTTTTGTAAATGGATAAGTTATGGTAAAGAAAACAATAGCACTGGAAAGTGTAGACGAATTCTGTGCATTTGATAAATCTATTCAAATTATTATACTAGCTACTCTGTTAATTGAAAAATCCAAGTCATATACATCCATCCTTGTGGATATAAATTATCTATCTTTTGAAATACTACAAATGACTCAAAAACCTTTAAATTATTTATGATTGGGGTAAGATATTTATGGTTAGGACTGGCAGTCACGAGTTTGCATCAGATATAATACAAAACATTTCCTCGAAACAAATATGGATGACAGAATTCCACTCATCCAAGAGGCCATAAAATATAGTGTCAATAAGTGAATGTTTGTTACAGCATTAAAGGTTTAAGATTAGAATGTAAGGATAGTTTTAGTTTACTCGTTATTTACAATATACAGAGGAAAAACTAATTGTATAATACATGTAACACTGTGGCAAAAATTAATATTTCGTTATGAGTTTGAACGAATACAAAACTATGTCTGATATTAGTGATACGTGATAAATGAATTTTGCACAAAAACCCACAAGTCATGTTCTCGATTTTGACTGACTTTTCCCCATACTATATTTATAGTTTGAGCTATGTTGATGGGCGAAGACTACCTGGTTGAGATAAAAGTGACTAACGTGACTAATGGTTGGAGACATTGTTAACATGGCTCAGACAGTGATGGGATTTATCTTGATAATTTCATCTTGTTCCGTTCATATGATCTGGTGAGCTGAACCGATACACGCTTGTGCTAAGTTCTACGTTGCTTGTGATACTTTTTTCGCAACAATTATGATTTGAATGAATAAAACGAATGAAATTTGAAAACCAGATAACTCACTCATATTTGTGGTTGATTTAGTCAAACCTATATCTTTTATCCGTAATATAAATGTAGCCAAATCGCCTTTGTTCAGTAGACGATCATGATTATTTTCACGATGACCACTTTCACCGTAGCTGCTAAATGAATCATCATCATCAATCGAATATTTGGTTGCTGCGATTTTGGGCGCCGGTAAATAGAACTGATGGGGTAAATGATTTGATTTGGGATTACACATTGCCTCAGCTAAGTGACTTCTCCATTCTGAACCACTTTTTACTATTTCATTATAATCTAAGCTGATTAAATAACCACCAATCTGTTCAGGATCCACATGATTTTCATTAGATATACGTGTTACAAGAGCTATTTAGAAAAAGATACAAAATTTGTAAAATGGAAATATAATGATAATAATAAAACCAATAGTCCGACAGACAACCAGTAACAGTCAATTTATAGCCTGGCACAAACGCTCGTTAGCTCTAGTTACCATATCACATTGGCAAATCGAGACGAATAGCAAAGGAGTGGAAATAACTTTAGTAGTAATGATAATGAAAATACTAAACACTGAAACCATGGTACGAAAAAGCAGAATGAATGGCTAATGTACGACGGAATAATGAAACTCCAAATTTAGAGGAGGACAGAGTGTGAATATATATATATATATATATATATATATATATATATATATATATATATATAAGCCAATAACTTGGTGGACTGATACCATATTTTAGTTTGGGTACCCCTAACTTTCATGCAAGTTATTCCTAAACGAGCTAACGCTTTCTACCAAGATAGATGAACGTTAGACACACGCAAAAAATGTCTCGACCGCCTCGATTGATGAACTTATGTCTGAAGATATTAAATAGTAATAGTGAGAAAACGTAAACTCTTAGAAATAAAACTCATGGTTCAAATAATAAATGAGTTCCGAGCTCAAACATCTCAATAGTAACATTTCAAACTATTAAAATCAATAACTCAGATTTCAATCTACCAGAAAGTATCAGTTCTATCAAAAGTGCAAGTATGTTCTGATAACAAGTACTAACCAGAACACAAACTAGTTCAAGAAGTCCTTTTTTGATGACTAATTTCAAATACTTAGTATGAAGAATCAATGTTAAACTTATAATGTTATTATCAGAAGGGGTTTTGAAATCATGAGTCAATTGAAGCTAGACCACCATGGAAAACCTGGAAGCACTGGACGGCCATTTCGTTCTATTGTGGGACTCCTCAGTAGTACGCATCCACGCCCCCGCCTCGTAGGACTCGAACCCAAGAACTATCACTCTGGCGCCATGCGCTTAACCAACTAGACCACTGAGCCGACATCCAACGGTGTTAATGTCTTACTTCAACTAATCCACGAAATTGAGCGACACATTCACCATTGTCATCAGTGAGTTACTATCTCACAAGTGACTCGGTTGAACTCCACTGGTCACTGGTTCTCACTAGAACTCCAGGAATATGTTTTGAAGCCAGTCACTAGTGAGCATATGTTGATTACTGTCAGAAGGGGTTTTGTGGAAACTGTAGTAATTTCAACGACTGTCCAGTGCTTCCAGGTTTTCCATGGTGGTCTAGCTTCAATTGACTCATGGTCTCAATTGTTATAATGTTGAAATTATAAAATAAGAAGCAGCGAATTCAAAACAATCGCTATCATTTATTACATGTGAATGACTTCTCTTCATATAAAAAGTGTAATAGAACCACATGATAATGATTGAGAATAATTGGCACAGCTATTTAGAAACTACAGTTTTAATTAATATTCTATGCAATTTTTTTAAAAGAGAAAACTATTTATAAACGATGTGCATTGCGAGATGTGACATTCGTTTATGAAAATAAATTTATGTTAATGACAGTCTATGACGTTACGTTAATCTTAATGAATACGTTTGACAGTACAGTTGTAAACAAGAATGTTCTGCAATTTTTTTTATTCCAATGGTAATGAATGCTGAAAAAGCTGGAATCTAATGTACAGACTACTCACTACTATCAAGATAAACCACTTTGATCTGTTCAATAAGCACACGAAACGAGATGCTGATACGCTTATCAAAATCGTTCTGAACTTCCAGGTAAGTTCAAACATGTTGATTATTAGATAGTTACTAACAAAATGCGCTGCAAGATTTTCGTACGATATTGTGATTTGATTGAAGTCAAATATACAAACCACTAGATGTCAGTCTCCAAATGCCATGGTACGACAGTGTGAGGAGAGTCCACACTCCCTCTCAAAATTCACATGGCCACGTGTATATAGCCTTTGCCAGGGAAGTCCTACTCGCTTTCTCGTGACGGGGGTGTTGTTTACGAAATTCAGAGGACCAAAAGAGAATGTTTGTCGCTTTAACCGGATCCCAAACCAAATCAGAGGTTCACATGGGCTCCAGTATCCTGAAGGAACAAATGGTGTATGAACCAATTTTCGGTCACCGGCTACCATGGGACCACATCTCTTTACGATGCTCCACTGCCTTGTGGATCAGACCTTCAGGTCAAAGGTTCTGGTTGTGGCCCCTTAAGTAAACCACCTCCTGCGGTTTGGGCACCCGGGCAGTATCACATCCCTCACACAAATTAAATGACATTTGTGTGGCGCATATGTATCTGGTGCACCCTTATGAAAATATTTATGTGTTCAATTAAAGAAATAATAAATCATATAAAGGTTGAGCATGTGCGACCAAAACTGAACGTCCTGAGTATGATAACTGGTGGTAAAATTGGGAATTTCCACTGCTAAGAAGTCCCATACCAAAACGAAACAATTGTCCAGTACCTCTCGGTTTTCATTTGTCGGTTAATTAAGATCTTTTCATGATGTCAACCATGATATTCTATATAAATTGGCATCCATCCTTAGTTTATATCTAAAACGTTTCACTCCGTGAAATCAATGAATAGTTTGTTTTCTCTTAAATTCAGCTATCCAAAAATATTAAATTTAATTTAGACCAATATATTTAGTTAACATATTCCGAATTGGCAATTATTATCGTAATCAAAATAGCATAGAGACGTTCGTGTTCAATGTACTATGAGCATAATTTGATAAACACAAATTTTACTGAAAAAACAAGTCCACTATTCTACTGACAATCTATAACCAAATTCACAATTAAATTCTCAATAATGAACAAGTGAACTCATTTATGAAGTACACACTTATGTACTGAACTGTGAGCTACAATAATTCAATAGGATAAGGTTTGTGATACTACTTAGTGGTCTTTTCTAAAATTATTTGAACATAGATGGAGTTTGACGATGTATTTATATTACTCTATTCTTAGTGAATGAGAGCGAAAGTTTTCAATTACTACAAACCTCATGAGTCAGTGATTTAATAAATTCCTTTTATTAGTATTGTAAAGCTACCTCTATAATTAACTATATAAATATGGTGTTTATGACAAAACTATGAAACGTGCATTTTCAAGTGGATCTTAGTTGATATTACATCTCTATACTATCGATGTTATTTCCTCAATAATCATACACAGTCCTGTAGTTGGAAAAGAGAATGTTTTAAATAATCATGGGCAATTGGATTAGATTCACATAGCTTTTGAAAACGTACAATAGTTACTATATGATTACAACTAAAGTGATACATCACATGAAGATATTGAGTTTTAACAAACTAGTTTACGGAAATGAAATATCTAAAACAAATCAAACTCAAAATCTTTTTGTGAATGACCGAATTTGTTGTAATAAATCTCTTTTTACTAATGTGGAATTATTTATTGGAGAGGCTGATTAAGGATAGCAACAATAGATAATCAACCCCTTGATGGTTGATTTGAACAAAAACTCTAAATACATTTTCTAACAATCAGTTATTTTATTTGGGTATTACATCGAAAAAGGTAAATAGCTCAGTACATAAACATATGTTAATAAGTTGAGGATATCTATATAATACAAAGGCATTATTAGATAATTATCGTTAGTGACCAGTTAATAATACATGAATATATAAATGTTTCAGAAGGGGTTTAGTGGATATTATAGCAATTTTAATGGTTGAAATCATAAGTCAATTGAAGCTAGACCACCATGGAAAACCTGAAAGCATTGGACGACCGTTTCGTCCCATTGTGCAACTCCTCAGCAGTGTGTATCTAACCATTTAAATAAAGTTATTTTACAGTTATGAAGGGATACAACAAGCAAACTATTACAAACTATTTATCTCTCTGAGCAACTAAACAAATGAAAATTTAAGGTGTCCAAATAAATATATGTACTGTAAAATGTAAACAAATCATTAATATTTAACGTCACATATCTCAAATATTCAGATTTTTATTCACAAACGTATCATAAATTAATACATACAGGGAACAAAATAACTTGATTTTAAGAAAGAAATGTGATTTTCAAAAATTGGTTATTTTTGCAACATAAATATATCATACTTCATTGGTTGAAGCTAAAACACTGCTTAGTTGTAGAAATAAAAAGACTGATGCATATAAATATAAGTAGTTAGGAATAAGTGATTGTAGCTAAGCCATGCTGAATCCCACGTAAATCAGTACAAACCAAGGTTAATTCAAATAATCAAGACAAATTTTCTCTTTATCCCCTCCATGTCGTTCATGTTTATTCCATGGGAGATGACATTGCTTGATTGGAGAGCTAGTGTAACCAAGTATAAGTACAACATCAGATAATTAAACGAATCTCGGTTTACAAAAAGTTGACAGAACCGAGATCTAGTATACTTGCTAGTAATAATTACATAAACAATGGTGCTCGAAGTCAGTTCGTCAGTAACAACGTAGAACTTCGTACGTACGTACATCAGTTCGAGTTGCCACACCACATTAGCACAAAGATGCAGTTGTCGACTCAAATCCCGTAGTGGAAACATTAGGGCTTGAAGATGTTATTCAAGGAGTACAATACAGTGAAATAAATTTGAAAAGAAAATAAGAGTCATGAAGAATCCAGAAGACTAGAATTTGGTAGAACACAAAGAATGGATGCATCTCCGCCATCGCAAACGATTTTGAGCCATGTCATTCAGGGTCTCTAACCATCGGTTGTTATCATCTCACGGTCCCCAACCAGGTAGTCTACACTTACCAACACGACTCAGTCCACTTGTCAGTGACTTCATGGATTTGTGCCATGTTTTGGTTTGGCTGCCACTAGCTTTCTTCCAATCTACTCCTACACCATTGAACATCGCAAGTCGAAGGAGTCGGTGGTTGGGCATACGTAACACGTGTCCTAGCCATCTCAACTGATGAATTTTCACTACTTCATCAATTGACTTACCATCCTTATCCAGTTTCCGTTTCCTAACAACTGCGTTACGTACTCGATGGTCCCAGGATATACGAGAAATGTTTCGAAGACATCTATGATCAAATACTAGCAACCTACGAATATCCTCTACTCTTACCGGCCATGTTTCACTGCCATAAAGTAGGACGGAACGAATCGCTGCGCAGTAAAAACGTCCTTTCGTTGATAGACGGATATCTCGCCTACACCATAAATGACGCAAGTTAGCAAAACCTAGTCGAGCCTTCGGATTGGTGCTCGGAAGCTGGTTACAATCCATATTTTTGCAAATGAAATTACAAGACTTTTAAATTGCTGGTGTGCAAAGACGGTCGTTTTTAAATTGTCATTTACAGGCTGCATTGCATGAGATCCAAATTTCTGAAAGCTTCATTTAATCATTTTAAAAGTCTTTATAAGTAAACAACTTAATTTTTATCCATGGGATAGATGAATTATTGCTAGGTGTGAAATATCAACCAAGAAAGACAGAATTTCAGAACAAGGATATTAACAATCTGATATCAAAACCCTTTTTTAATTATAACAACGACAGTCACTAGTCTTGCTGATTAACATTATGTCAGTTCCAAGACCCAGAGGATTATTTCTATTTTTTTGTCTAGGTATATACACAACATAAGATGGCAGTTTCAGATTTTAACGACTTACAACTTCTGAAAACGAAGTTTCGTGAATTTTATTGTAGTGTAGTAACGTTTTAGCACATAAACAAATATCATCAGGAGCTATTTAGGTATACAAAACATAAACATTTATTTGTTTGCTCCAATCTAAACGAATCCATACAAACGTTTAGTATATTAAAGATTCCCATTTTGAAAATTAGAACAACACATATAAGCGAACAATTGTTTTCAATTAGATCGTCATCAAGCTTTACTCTAATATACATGAATATTTATACGAAAATTTCAAACCAATCAAGGCAATATGAGTCAATAATCACAATGAAATAGAATAAGTCACTACACATAATAGGTAAAAGTACAAGTTGATAGTAGTAGGAAGACAGGTGAACTGATAATAGTAAGAATAATAAAATACAGTAACAAAACTCTTATCAATAGTTAAACGTTGGAAATAGAAGGTCAAACAAACATGGGTAAATAGACTAGGAATAGTAATCACAAAACCTTAAAAATCATTACGTAATAAGATGTGTGTAAATAATTAGATAGTGAAGAATACAAAGAGGCGGAAAATTACAAACAAATAATGGATGTGGAAATAAGGTTAATGATAACGAAATAGAATAAAATAAATAATGATAATAATAAAATTTTAAAAAAATATCGTTAGTTAAGTTATAACTGGCCATGGGAGGGATAGGGGGTTATGTATTTCGTCTGTACACTTAAATTGGGGTTATATGTACGAATTCCAATGGCTTCAGCTATATGTAGGAGGCAGAAACGAACTCCGTCAGGAAATGATGGAGGTATACGATAGATAACTCAAAATGATTTCGACCGCTATCAATGAGATGTGCCAAGATAGAACTATGAATAGATTTTATCTGGCCCTTTATGTACCAAGTTGGTAGATGTTCACTCATTCGTTGGTTAAGTTGCCTGGTAGTACGTCCTATATTACTATCTACACAGGAGCAGCTGAATTTGTAAATGCACATAGAAGAGGCCAACTCAGGTAACTTATCCTTCGTTTGAGTAGACATCGCTGGTCGACAAGAGAAGGTCAACGCAAGATTGGCTGCGTAGAATGTCTTGGTGATTACTTTGATTAACCTATATTTCAGAGTGTCACTAGCCACATCCCCGTTGAATTGCACTTTCATGTATAAAGGTTTCTTATGAACAGTCGAAATCTCCGACTTCTTTATTATGTCATACATGTACTTCGTAATGAAAGCACTGAGGTAGCCGGTCTAGGTCAGTGAGTTGTTGATAAATTCAAGCTCTTGACTTACCTACTGTACAGATCTTTTTCGCTCTGCTGGTGAGACATCTGACCAGATTTTTCTTGTAGGTGTGAAACTGCAGAAGTGAGTATATTGGCATGAGGAGGGGTTTCTTCTATACACGCATCTACTTAATGTGCCGTCACTTCGTCTGCTTAGTGTGACGCCAAGGAAGTTCAGCTTCTTATCATGCTCGCTTTCACCAGTGAAAGTGATCCCTGGGTGAACACTGTTGAATTGGTCTAGGAGTCCCTCCTTACTGGTGTTTTGATCTACGATGATGAAGGTGCCGTTTTAACTCAACTAACGATATATATTTTTTAATTTTACTATTATCATTATTTATTTTATTCTATTTCGTTATCATTAACCTTATTTCCACATCCATTATTTGTTTGTAATTTTCCGCCTCTTTGTATTCTTCACTATCTAGTTATTTACACACATCTTATTACGTAATGATTTTTAAGGTTTTGTGATTACTATTCCTAGTCTATTTACCCATGTTTGTTTGACCTTCTATTTCCAACGTTTAACTATTGATAAGAGTTTTGTTACTGTATTTTATTATTCTTACTATTATCAGTTCACCTGTCTTCCTACTACTATCAACTTGTACTTTTACCTATTATGTGTAGTGACTTATTCTATTTCATTGTGATTATTGACTCATATTGCCTTGATTGGTTTAAAATTTTCGTATAAATATTCATGTATATTAGAGTAAAGCTTGATGACGATCTAATTGAAAACAATTGTTCGCTTATATGTGTTGTTCGAAACGTTGAGTGCACAAAAGTAATTTTTCTACAAAACGGACACTAGCGAATTCAAGTTCTTAAAGTTTGATTTATACAGGTCCTTACGATGTTCAACTTTAAAGTTAACCACGTTTTAAAGAAGAAATATCCAGTGCTTAAACACTGTTAATAAGCAAATGTCCGGAGCTTTAACCGGGTTGGTGGATACACATCGACCTAGAGAAGTTGAAAAACCCTGATTCCAAGTCGATGGTGCACATGGGCTCTAGGAAGCTGAGGGAACAAAGGGCGTATGAACATATTGTCGGCCACCGGATATCATGTGACTGCATCTCATAACGTTGATCCACTGTCTTGTGGGTTAGACCTGTAAGGCAAAGGCGCGATGAGTGGCACGCTTAGAAAGCCACCTGTTTCGGTTTGGGTACTCGATCGGTATTCTAGCCCTCACACTAATAGAATGATCGGTGTAGCACATATTTACCTGTTACCTTCTTGTACCAATGTTTATGTGTTTAACCAAATAAAAATTGTCACTTTTCAGCGGACTTCACCAATGGACCAAATCATTTCATAGATATTAATATTCTGAGTTATACCCTGGAAACAAGATGAAACTTTACCATTGAGACAGTTAATTTTTATTGATTATTGCTGTTAGTTTTAGTAATTCATAACTACTGGTGACTACCACACAAGTTCTGGACTTGTTTTCATTTCAAATAGATGGAAAAAACTTTGTATCAAGCGCTCAGTTCTAAAAATTGAGTTTTAACGGCAAATTAAAACGTTCCTTCTGACGACAATTTTATTAATAAACATGGTGTGATGGTATAAATAGAAAACTTGTTAAAGACTTATCTGCAAACATTATGAAAGGAATCGCAATACCTGCAGAACAGAATAATTTACAAAAACCACTTGATTATGAACGAAATAACCTGTTCACACAGAGATGATTATAATCACATGCTACGAAGTGCTACTAGGTAACAAGTTGGAAATAATAGCCATAGATACAAGAACCCAAGCAAGTTCTTTATATGTCTCACAGTAACTGAAGAAAGCAAAAAGACTAGGAAAAGATTAATGGGTGAGACTATAATTTATGGAAGACTTTCGAGAGACGCTGAAGGGACCTTGAGAGTGGACACCTACTGACTAAGACTAAATGAGGGTTATGAAGCAGTTAGAATTCTCATTTACAGTTGGTGATTAGGGTTAGAAATTAGATTTAGGGTTTTCATCACGAACCGACATCAGCTATAATGCCAAAACTCTATTTAGCCAAATGTATGGACGAATTTCAGGCCCAAACTCGCGGCTCGTTATTTTATATTTGATTATTTCGTCCATAAATTATAGTTTCGTCGATTAATGGATTACAAATCTGGCGAGACTATAATTTATGGACAAAGCAATCAGATATAAGATAGTGAATCACGAATTTGGGCGCGGAACTCATTCATGCATTTGGTTAAATGGAGTTTGGGCATTATAGCTGATGTCAGTTCGTGATGAAAACCCTTAATCTAATTTTAAACCCTAACCATCGACTGTAAATGAGAATTCTAACTGCTTTATAACTCTCATTTAGCCTTAATTAGTTGTTCACTCTCAAGGTCACTCCAGCGTCTCTAAAATGTCGTCCGTAAATTAGTCTCACCAAAAATCTTACCAACTCCGTTGGCCTTCTAACTACGGCTCCTACAACCTTCTAGTCAAATGAATTGGTCCTTTATATCCGTCATGTTCATGATAAAAACTAGTAACTGCATACATCTATCATAGTTTAAATAATGAACGAGTTTCGAAAATAATAACATCCATAGAATAGGATATGAATGAGTCCAGTTTTACTAATAAAACTAATTGTAAGCAGAAAATCAGAGGACCAACAAGAAGGATATAAAGTATTCTAGCTATAGACGACACTGCTCAAACCAGGTTTTGGTTGATCATATAGGCAGATAGCCGTATTACCACATAAAAATCCAAAAAGATTGGTTCCAAGTGTTAGAAACAACTGAACACATCACTAAACTTACTTGTTGAAATACAGTCATACTCTACGAACAAAGTTGGCTCAGCTGCATTGTCGATTATGAAAGAACATTCTCTCGCCAACAAATCAGCAGACAAGTCAGATGAATAATGAACGGAATTTTTACATACAGAATGACCAGAACATCTTCTAGATATATTGGCAGTCACATCGACCCAACAATCTCGAGAATTGTGTGTACGACACCGATCGGTTGAGTTCGATATAAGTAGAATCTCACGAAAATAACCAAAGTGAGCTTCATGAATAATTATTGTTTTTTCAGAGCCACAATGTATATGCAGAGACTCGTTATAGCATGACAATTCCCAATCTAAAATTCCTCAGTGATATAACTAGAGAAATGGAGAATTACCAGCTGAAGCTTCAAAAATGCAGGTGAAGATCCATACTTGGTATGTTAAGAAAATACCAAGAAGCATACTTCATATCTTCAGAGTAGCTTCTAAACATGCATTTTGAAATTGTGCCACTACATGAACTTCATGCATAAATATTCAAGTTGAAGTGGACAAACAAACGACTTAAAGGTAGTTCTTCACCATATCGAAAGTAGTGTCTCTATTCTGAATTCATCTGCTCAAACTATTCTGTCTTCAAGACGTCTTCAAAACGAGTTATTCAACTCATCTAGTTGAAATGGTTAGTTAATAAGGTTTCAGATATTTCATTGTGTTGAAAAGTGTGAACCAATCACAAAATGCACAAAATAAGGAGTCTCTTGGAGGTTAAACTTTGGCGTTTGTTCTGGAAAAATCTCGATTCCATTTCCTACTCAGAGTGTTCAACAGAAAATTGTAGTTATATTCACTACCGTATAAGTAGTTGTAGCGGTAAATAAATCTTCAAGATCAGTAGCTGTGCAGGCCTTCGATAATTGATGCTGACCACATAAGCTTTAATTGACTCACCTAGCTGAAGGCGCTTGTTCACGCATCCGCACCAGATAACGAGTGAGAACGCCGTGAGCAACTTCTCCTGCAACCGCCAGCCATTTTAGATTAGTCACCCCTCGATTTATTGAAAACCTATCGAATACATCTCAACACCTCTCCGTTTCTGACTTTGGATTTTACTGAATGTGAACGATTCAATTAATGAGGGCGTCACTGGTTGAAGTGTTGTTATCTTCATGGTCATATTTTTGTTTTGTGATTTTTGTGGCAATTAGGTAATGCCTTGATGATGTGACAGGTATTCAGTGTTTGACAACGCTTCTACCAGTAACACCTAATATATTTCGTTCCCACCCAGAGAAATCAAAAGACAGAGTCGAGGAGATCGGAAGAGTATATTTGGCGATGATCAATTTATCGGAATTCCCTGATCTAATCTGGCTAGCGATTGCGGTTGATGTTGAGCACGGCGTTACCACACGTGATCTGGATGCGGATGCCTGACCGAGCGCCTTCAGCTAGGTGAGTCCACTAAAACATATGGTCATCATCCAAGGTCGAAAACTTAGAGCTATTTGTTTTGGGGATTTATTTACCGCTACAGATCACTCCCCCCCCTAGTGGGGCAGTGACGACCCTAAGATGTGGCCAGCCAGAAGTTTAAACCCAACAAGTTTGTCGTTGGTAAACACTCTACGGTCTACGCAGGTTAAGAGGTAAGAGTATCCATTTGAATCTGGTAAAGGTCCTACCAAAACCAGATGAACATGGTCGAAACGAGGATCGGGAGTTTTAAATGAGCTTAAAGGACATTTATTTTGTCTGGTAACCTAAGATTTTTGGCAGCTTACACAGGAGCGTGCCCACTCCCTCACGTCTTTATTCATGCCAGGCCAGCAAAACCGTTCTGCTCTAAGCTTGATGGTTGCACGGACACCTGGATGAGAAAGTTTGTGCAATGTGTTGAATACAACGTTTCGGCACGATTGGGCGATCCCTACCTGTAGATGTGTCACAAAGTAAGGTTCCCCTACCTGTTCCCATCTGTTTGATGCGTAGTTTAAGGGTTGTGAACGATAACTCGTGCTGAAGATCAGTGTCTTCTTTTTGAAGCTGGGCGAGTTTAAGGAGGTCGATTCCTTGGAAACTGTTCAAGGAAGTTATGCGAGACAAAGCGTCTGCAACTACATTGTTTGCTCCAGAAATATGTTGAATATCTGAAGTAAACTGCGAAATGTATTCCAGTTATCGAGACTCACGGGGAGAGTACTTGTCTGAAGACGAACTTAACGAGAAAGTAAGAGGTTTATGGTCAGTGAAAAGAGTGAATTCATGGCCTTTGATATAGTGCTGAAAATGTCGTATAGCACAATACATAGCTAGGAGTTCCCTACCGAATGTGCTGTACCTCGATTCGGTGTCTAGCAACCGTCTAGAGAAAAATGCCAAGGGTTGCCAGGAGTTGTTAACCCAGTGTTGTAAGACGCCTCCAATTGCCGAGTCCGATGCGTCTACTGCGATACTAATGGGTGCTTCGGTGTCCTGATGTGCGAGCATTGTTGCTTTAGCAATCAGTTCCCTAACTGTGGAGAATGCTTTTCGTGCAGTGTCGTCCAAATTAATGGATTTCGCATTTCCACGAAGTTGGTCAGTCAGAGGTTTCATAAGTAATGCGCATTTCGGTATGAAACGTCTATAGAAACTTACCATGCCGTTAAACGTCCGTAATTGCTTGACGGTGGTCGGTTCTGGGTAATCCAGAATGGCCGCCACTTTGGTTCTAAGGGGTCGGATACCTTGAGCATCGATAGTGTGCCCCAGAAAGTCTAATGAGTCAGTTCCAATTTGGCATTTCTGAACGTTTACAGTAATGCCATGATTTTGTAGTTGTTCGAAAACAAGATCCAGATGCTTGAGATGTGTTTCTCTGTCCGGATTTGCGATTAGGCAGTCGTCAACGTACGCGTGTACGAAGTTGAAACCTCGAAAAACGTCAGCTATGAATCTTTGGAATGTTTGAGCAACGTTTCTTAGACAGAAAGGCATCCGCAAAAATTCATAGAGTCCGAAAAGAGTAATGATTGCGGTTTTCGGTATATCGTCAGTAGCCATAGGGATTTGGTTATACGCTTTAACCAAGTGGTTTTTCGAAAAGACAGTTGTACCTTTCAAGGTAGCTGTCAAATCGTGAATGTGAGGCAACGGGTAACGATCGGGAATGGTTTTCGCATTCAATCGCCGATAGTCACCAGTTGAACGCCAATCGTTGCTGTCCTTTTTAGGGACCATGTGCAACGGAGATGCATATGGGCTACTTGACGGTCGTATGATTCCTAAGTCTACCATATGGTCGAACTCGTTTTTCGCTAACCTTACCTTTTCGGTAGCTAGTCGGCGTGCTTTAGAAAATACAGGTGGTCCTGTAGTCGTGATGTGATGTGTAACATTGCTGGTTACACACGGTAGTTTCGGTTGAGTTTGCTGTATCCCAGGGTACTTATCGAGTAGTGGTTGATAGAGTGCGTCCATCGTTTGCTTAATTGTGTTTGTGGATAATATGCAACCAGAGAAAGAAGTTACGCAAACGGACAAATTAGTGTTTCCGTCTACTAGCCGCCGTTTGCGCGTATCGATGATCAGATTATGGTGTTGTAGAAGGTCCATACCAATGATTGGCATAGAAACATCTGCAACAACGAAGATCCAGTGAATGGGTTTGCGTAAACCCACGTTAAGGTAAACGTACCTTTTGCCATACGTAGCGGTCGGTTTTCCGTTTGCCGCCTGTAAGTTTAAAGCCGATTCGTGAAGCCGGTCGTTGGGATTCGCTGGGAGAACGCCAACTTCTGCGCCATTGTCGACGAGGTAGCGAACTCTCATTGTCACATCTGTGACGTATAACAGACGGCTATGTTCGCCGGCTACGGTTGCCGTTAACGCGTGCCGGCTTGGAAGTTTCCCGAGTTGTTTTTCGAGTCAGTCGGTTTCATGTTGGAAAAATTGCAGGGTTTTCTGCAATTTCTGGAAGACTTTCCATACTGGTTATAATACCAGCACCAGTCGGGGTTATCCGTCTCTCGTGGTCTAGAGACAGATCGCTTACATGAAATGCTTCTACGTGGGGTGTGCGATTTCTTACGGTCGGTACGAAGACTAAGATAACGCGTGAGTGTATGACATAACTCGGTTGTGTCATTCTGAGTCGTTTGAGGTTTTTCTTTTACTGAAAATACCTCGGTAGTAGAAGGTTTCGTAATTTCTAAAATGCGGTCGGCAGATGCAGCTAGCTCGTCTAAGGCGTTGTTCTGGAACGAGACCAGAACTGCTTGCATTTGTTGAGGAAGTTTTGACAAGAAGAGTTGTTTGAATAGACCTTCGTCGAAAGTTCTTGGGACTATAACCTCTCTCATCCGTTGCAACATGTCCGTCGCAGAACCGTGTTGCAGGTCGATGTTATTTAAGAGTTGATCTAACCTTTGTCGATCGGTTAGGTCTCCTCGTTTAAGAATCGAGCGTTTTAAGATTTTGTAAGGATCGGCAACATCACTAGTAATCATACTAGGTGTTACGTACCTGTTGAATTCCCGCGGTAGTGCCTTGACTACTGCGAGGAATTGTGCACGTGTGTCGATCACGCCGTGCTCGGAGAAGTCGGCTTCTGCGTAGCAAAACCAGGCTTCGATGTTGTCGGGCCAGAAAGGCATGAGATGAAACGAATGCGGGGACAAAGTCTTAAGCTTGAGTACTTTAGGTGTCTGTTCAGTCACGATGAAGTATGAAGTACGATAATAAACGAGGGAAAAATATATATATCCAAGAAAAAACACGAAAAAATCACAATGTTTAAAAAAATAAAAAAACAAGGCAATGATATATCAAAATACCAAAAAGGAACAGACTCACAGATGCAATTACGTGTACCAGATCACGTCGTTCTCACGAATGATGATGTGACAGGTATTCAGTGTTTGACAACGCTTCTACCAGTAACACCTAATATATTTCGTTCCCACCCAGAGAAATCAAAAGACAGAGTCGAGGAGATCGGAAGAGTATATTTGGCGATGATCAATTTATCGGAATTCCCTGATCTAATCTGGCTAGCGATTGCGGTTGATGTTGAGCACGGCGTTACCACACGTGATCTGGATGCGGATGCCTGACCGAGCGCCTTCAGCTAGGTGAGTCCACTAAAACATATGGTCATCATCCAAGGTCGAAAACTTAGAGCTATTTGTTTTGGGGATTTGTTTACCGCTACAGCGATTTATTGATAACCTATCGAATATATCTCAACAACTCTCCGTTTCTGACTTTGAATTTTACTGAATGTAAACGATTCAATTAAAGAGGGTGTCACCGGCTGAAGTGTTGTCAAACTAAAAATGTTTGTGGCATCTTCATAGTCATATTTTTGTTTTGTGATTTTTGTAGCAATTAGATATTGCCTGTAGGTAGGCTTACTTCATGTGACATGTAAATATTGAGTTAGAATTGTTATGACTATAGTTTAATTTTACGAGTAG